GGCGGGTTTATGGCTAAAGGATTACGGGTTGAGGATAAAGGACTGCGGATTTTGGCTAAATCTTAATAGCAAAAGGTATAAGGAGCGACTGTGGATAGAATGTGTTCAACTCATCCGGGTTGGATGAACCACCCAGTTTTAAAAGACGAACGATGGCCGATAATTCAGAGGACCAGATAAATACTTATAGTCAACATGGACTGGTCATGGTCTAGTATGTGCCAACTATCACTTCTTAAATAAAAATTGATTTGTCCTATTTGATCACCGAAAAGCCATATATACAAATGGGCTAATTGAATAATTGTAATTTGTTTTCTGGGACTTGTTTGGAACGTAATTGCGATTAAACTGAACCTCAGTTTCCGCTGCGCAAACATCGAAGCTCACGATCCCAAACAGACTGGACGTTAGCACATCTGTCTGACCAAAACTATGTTTAGACGTTAATGAATACAAATATTGCTATGTATCCTGTATTACCAACTACCCTACCGAATGTGAACTTTTCAAGGACATTGAACAAGTTGCCCAACCCGATGGTTCTCACAGACACTAAGGCATCGTTCGAGCAAATGATAAAGTTTATTGGAAATGCTCACTGAACTGAGACTGAAATTGACAAAATAATTCTTTACAGCAATCACGAGAAAAACGATTCGTTGCTTTGTACTTTTCGAGACCTCCAATTGGGACGTGCATTTTCTCTGTATCTGTCCTAACGTGAACCGTGAGACCACATTTACTGCTTGTGAAACCGCATCAGCTGGCATTCTCGATGAATTCGGACAGAAGCTGACCGCTTAGTTGCAGAATAGGAGGCTTGGGTACCGAGTTGAGGTTTTACAGATTCCAAACCGAGCTAGGATACAAATGGCATGCATTGCGAACCACGTATGGGAAAAATTAGTCTTGTTAATTGTGTGCTTTAGCAACTCAGTGAAGCTGGTCGTCATTTGCAGACCTAATCATTCATCCTAAGCCAAATCATCTGTCGAGATCAGTTTCAATTTATACAACGACGAATGTTGAGTGCAATCGGCGTCCGTCTGCTTTCACACGAACATAGCCACTCTGCGCATTAGAATCCCCGTGGCTTGGACTCGAGACCGAAACTGACGCACCCTACTTTGCATGTAGATGGAAGACAAAGCAGCCCCATCATGTTTTCAACTATTTTCCGCTTCTCTCTCTGTCTGTCGCAATGTATTAGCACTTCGACATGCAGGGCCCCCAATCGGATGTCACGCCAAAGTCTCATATGTGGTCAATAATGACTTTCACACAATAAATGCTTGCCCGCCATCGGATGTGAAATATGAAAGTTCAAATTTTTATTACGGGAAATTTGTAAGGCTTAGTTGCATAGGAAATCTAAACACTGAATTCGGACGCTAGTGCAAATTTAAAAAAACCAACTAATCAATATCCGCACTCACTCACGGGTGTTACACAATTAGGTGTCTCAATGCTACATCGAGTCGCAAGTTTGAACGAACCAGCAACTGGAAGACAAAACAACTCAGGATAGGAGAAAGAACCAGGTAGTACACATACTCTTAGACTGAGTGAGGCCTGAAGTTTGGTCAACTCTTTTAGAGCAACAGTCGGAAGGGATGTCCCCTGAGTTGATCATTCCTGGAAAGTGTCAGCAGAGTACTGTATAGATGGTTGGATAGATACAGTATTTGATGTACGACGATCCTATCTCCCCAAATTCGATACTATTGAAATGAGTGAAGTCCCAGGATTCTCAACCTTTCCGCATGTACATTTTGATTGCTATTCTCTGCGAAGTTCCGAGAACATTCTTACTACATTAATGAATTTCAAACGTGCATGATGTACTAGTGTATAACCAAAGTTACGCTGATAGCAAGCAGAAAAAGGTTTGTTTCAAACGTTTTCAAAACACGTTCGAGTAATTTATCTTGCTCAGGAGTAAATGGCAAAGCTCCGACACAATGTGTGGAACGTCCTAAATCCTCTCAATGAGCATAAAAATACCTCATTCAATTTAACGATTACCCGTCAAATCTGAAGGTGGCATACACTGGTGAATCACGGCTAACCGAGACGAACGAATGTCCACATGTCAAGTGCATATCGTCACGGTTTTTGTAAATCGCTCACTGAAAGATGTATTCTATTCTCGTTTCTACACTGACGAAGGGCTCTTCACAACCACGTCTTCCAATCCCACATGGACATGAAACAAAAGTTGTCAATTCCTCCGCGGTGCATGAGGCGCGTTGGATTGGGCGTCGAAGACCGAGCCTCAGTTGCCCGGAATCATTACGACCCGAACCAAGTGAGTTCAGCTGAGTTCGCACATATTGCTTGCACTTTACACAATGCGACTTTGTGCAGGCAATTTCCAAAAGGGGCGGAAACACGGATTTGGGGAGATAAAAATAGACGATGGTGATGGGAGGTAAGCATACACTCTCGGTTCATGTGGAGATAATTCCGATGCCATTTGGTCGTGTCTAAAACCATCAGTAAAACCAACCCCATATATATATTTGATAACAAGTAGTATGTGAATGACTGGACAAAATTTCCCTGAAGGCACACGGACGGTTTCGCGGTTCTTGTCGCTCTTCAGGCATGCGTATCCGGTAATCTTTTGCCACTTCATTCAGATACTTGTACCCAGGAAGTGTATTTTCGTCACAATAACCTTGTTTTCAACACCGGGTGACCATCGGATATATATAACTCAAAATCTCAGTTCACTACTGCAGATAAAATAAGTGATTAAAATAATATATATATATATTTATATAATGTAACTTGTCGACTTGTTTGGACCGGGTTTAGGTGCACATGCACATGCGCGCGCTATCTCCTACCTTTTCGTGCCTGCATTTGTGCGTTAACTGCAACATAAACAGCGCTGAAAATTTAAGAATTAACCGAGTAACCTTAGGTAACTATGATAACCAATACTAGACGGGTATGACAAGTACAGAACAACAATCATAGAGCCGAGGACCAATATCAAATCAGCTTACATTTTCTGATTCAGAGTTGCAGTTAGCTCATACCCAGATACATGAATATGAATGCACCTACAAACTGGCCTACTTTGTGTTGGCGCGCAGTCGCATCTTCTCCAACGCTTTGATTCACCATCAGACACAAGTTGCCCGACTGATCGCTCGAAACGGGTTGAACGAAGGGATACCACTATGAGGAAGATTTGCTCACTGCCTTCTCGTGGCAGTGGTGTTTTCCCACCAAAGTGAGAGGGCGAAAAACCGAAATCCGGGGCTATAAGTGAGTCGATGACAAACTGGAAGCTCACCTCAGGGGGTTGGCTAGAAACCCTGATTCTAAACGAGCCAAGAAGAGGCATACAAAAAACAAAGACCTCTCAGGTTGTGGTAGTGGTCATTGGCTCGTTGGATATCGAGGTCTATTGGCCACCTTGAAGGTTTGACCCCGTCCAATGAGCAAGTGATCCGATAAACTGGACACCGGCCCCGATGGATTGCGGTTTTCATACAACGCCCCGCTGCCTTGCGGGTCAGGCTTTGGCTAACCGAAGGCTCCGGTTGTGAACCCCCTAGGAAAATTAATCCGCTCTGACCTGGGCAAGCTAGCAGTATAACGCCCTCAAGCAAATCATGGATCATTTTTCTCTTTATGAAGATTATTGTACCGTGATTTGTTTGGCACAATCTAAACTCAAGGGTATGTGAAAATATATAAATACATATGAGTGAAGCATGCATTGAGCCTTTGAAGCAGATTGGCTGGGTTTGGATTGAGCGGAATATGACGCTGTGTTGTTGAAACGTGTGCAACAGACACGCCCATACGACAAATTTCGAGTTAAACAAAACATACGGTGTTCACTTAGGAATTAATTTTGTACACTCGATTGCAAATACTATTTCCCATCTGATTCTTGCAAACTTCACAGTAATCAGTTGGTCTCGTCAGTTGTCTGTCCATCGATATCGGCAGTCCTGAGCATCAAGGTAGTCGGGCTCGGTAATTCTGTTATCCGTGCGGTTAACCCATTTCCGCTCATTTTTACCACCACCATTTCGTCGAATGCTAAATCTGGACTCCATTAGACGGTGTGGAGTTCATGAAATGTATACTAGAAGTGGTTTTTCCAAACACGTCTACAAAAATGGAACTGGAAAACTAATCATTCCGTAGGGACTGCACTATCATGTTTCACTCAAGGTTTATCCGAATTTGGCCATAGAAATGACTGCGTGATAATTGTTTGCAGTTAAACTTTTGGAACCAAGGAAACTTTAAAGGTCAAATTTATGCCATTACCATCCAGGAGCTCCGAACTTAAATTGGTACTTTACTCAGAAGAAACAAGAACATGCTGATTAACAACCAGTATTTCTTAAATGTTATAGCCGGTAGGGAGTCGCCCAATTCAATTGATCAAGTCAAACTAATTGAACTGGACTCCGAAAGAAAAGGTTGGATTACCGAGTGATTGATTCTTCCTCATAAAATGCCCACCATTCTCGATCGCTTAGTAACTTATCAAGGACCAATCGAAACACAAACACCATTAGTTTCCGCAATCGTGTATATCTTCACCCTTATCAGATTAAACATGGTCAATAGTAAACTAGTTAACAGGTTTCACGTAGATCCCGGCTATCACCTTTCCGATGCTTTTTCCTCGTTCCAGTCAGCGTAATTGATGAGATCAGTGAATCGATGGACCACCAAAGC